TCTGTTGCTCTGGAAACAGACACATGATTTGGATTATAAAAGTTGACCAAAGGACAGAGAAATTCTCACTCCCCATGTCTAGTCAGAGTGAGGTTCCTGACACCGTGGACAGCTATCCCGGAAGTCGGTTGGATTTTTGGTCTGCTCAGCGCCCCTGTTTCCTCTGGGACATAGCTCTTCTTGGGTTCCAGGTGGGCCCGCTGGGGCTGGTGAGTGGGGGTAGCAGTCACGTTGATTCAGAGAGTGGAACATCTCCAGCCAACTCCAATTCTCCACCTTCCTTTTGTGGTTTTGTTTACAGGTATAAGGTCTGGTTTGTCCTACTGTTATTTTTCCTTACTTCTTTCTCTCCATTATAAACCTAAAGTTTTGGCCCAGATCCTGTGACGACAAACAGAATTCCTTAAGCATAGACCAGGCTTGGGATCCGATAGACTGTCTGCCACTGATCTGGTAGCTTTCAATGTTCCAGCTGGCCTCTGGGTCCTCTGCCCTGGAATTCAGGAACTGGAGAATGTAAACGCTGCGTTTCTCTCCCCTTTAAAAGAAAATAAGAGGGGAGGGAGGCTGGGCTCTTGAGACTTTCAAATATCTGTAGAGTGAGAGTGACGGCTCCTTCTCCATGTTGGGGGAGGAAGCATACCCTTCCCTCATTTATCCGAGTGCATTTGGCACTTTTTCCAAATTGCACACACCCCAAATCAATTGCAGCTTCTAGAGCCGATCTCAGGGGAGGCAGGTAGAGAAGTTTTCTCTTGCATCGGGATTGGCCACTCAATGGGGCAGATGGAAATAATTTTCTGACTTAAGGCCAGTCTTTAGGTCCCCTAGACATCATTATCTCAGCCATCTCTCTCTAGCCAGTGCGACCCAGGTGTAGATAAGATTAAGTCAAACCCTCCGTCCATGCCAGTGGCATTCCAAAGCTCTTTCCAAGAATTCTGGATATTTTTGAGGGACTTACGTGCTCTGGGTCACCTCTGCTTCTGGGATCCCAGGTCCAAATGTGCTTTGTCCACAGTTTACTGACCCAGATATAACACCCAGCCTTGTCCTCAGTTTCCACCAAAAGCTCACACTCAAGGACATGCATGAGAGTAAAACCTTTTTCCAAAGAGTTGGAGGCACAGAGAGAAGTGAGATTATGTTCCATGAAACATGCAAGTTAAAATCTATGCGACGCCCATACGAGTCTAATATATCAGATGCTTTTAAAAGTCCTGTTAACAATTAATCCTTAGCAGTTTTACTCACTCGCATTTCTCCCCATTCAGCATCCAGCCTTCCACCTTGTTTCTCTCAGTTCCCCTTCTTGCCCCATCCCTCTCAGAAAAGGAAGTCAAAAACTCAAATGCTAGCAGGGACCAGCAGGTATCAGACATACGAGTTGAGAAGGCATCTGTGTCTGACCCTAGAGAGGATCCAGCCTACTTCAAGGCATTCAGGTGCAAAACATTTTAAGCACCGTGTCCTACGAAATACTTCTGCAAGGCACTTTGGCGCCAGGGCTACCAGTTTGCTGTCCCTCAGCTCCACAATCTCTCTCTTTGCTACAGCCACCCAAGACACTGCAATGGTGCCACCAAAACAGGCACAGGAGCTAGCAGGGGCTCTCTCTCTCTTGCTTCATGTGTGTCCTGAAACCTTACTGAAGTTGGGTGTACATCGGCATAATCAACCCACATGCTATATGTATGAGTGGAAGTCAGCCCCGTAACAGGTGAACTTGGGCTCAGAGAGTAGACAGCCCGTGCCTAACCCAGCCTCCACTAATCTGCCTGTGTTGTCTTTTTTTATAATTTACTTATTGTGGCAAAATATATGTAACATAAAATTACCTTTCTAATCATTTTTCAGTGCACAGCTCAGTGGCATGAGCACATTCACCTTGTTGTGCAACCATCACCAACATCTATTTCCAGAACCTTTTCGTCATCCCAAACTGAAACTCTGTCCCCATCAAATAATAACTCCCCATTCCCTCCTCTCCCTGGCCCCTGGCAACCACCATGCTACTTTCCATCTATATGAATTTGACTGTTCCAAGTACTTCATATAAGTGGAATCACAATATTTGTCTTTTCGTGTCTGGCTTATTTCACTTAGTGTAAGGTCTTCGAGGTTCATCTATGTCGAAGCATGTATCAGAATTTCCTTCATTGGTAAGGCTGAATAATGTTCCCCTGTATGTGTTAGACCATATTTTGTTTATCTATCAATGGGTATTTGGGTTGTTTCCACCTTTTGGCTATTGAGAGTAATGCTTCTATGAACAATGGGGTACAAATATCTGATCAAGTCCCTGCTTTCAATTCTTTTGTATATATACCCAGAGGTGGAATTGCTAGATCAAATGGCAAATCTATATTTAATTTTTTGAGGAACTATGCCTAGATATCTTTAGAGCCTCTCTGAACCTCATCCGTACAACAGGGATAATAATAGCACCCATCTTACTAGGGCAGTCTCAGAATTAATGCACATAGAGTATCTGGCTCAAAGACTGAGCACATGATAAATGCTCACTAAGTGTTAGTTAGATGTTTGGTTTCAATGTCCTCTGAAATGGAGGGACTCAAACTAAAATAATCTCTAAAGTCACTCTCAGCTCCCAAACTCCATGATGCAAGCATTAAATTATTTTCCTGTTGGGGAAGCCAGGAGCTCTCAGAGTATGTATTAGGGGAACACCCTCTTCACAATCCCCTACAAAAGTCCACCCCTGCCAAGAAGGCCCCATTGTCATAGCTCTTTCCTAGGAATTTGCTAACACATCCCAGTGTAAACTAACATCGAATTTTTCTTGCCACTCCTTCTGCCTTGCTTTCTTTCCACATTTCCTTTCTCAGCTGGCTGCTCTTGCGCACCGAATATCTGCACTTCGAATTAGCTTTCCCAGTTGTATTTATGTTCATTCCCCACAAGCCAATGTCTGTTGGAAGCACCACTTGTGAAGTTCTCCAGATTAAGGTTTCATTCCCAAGAGTCCCATATTTTAAATGAGGTTTTCCTCTTCAGGCAAAATCACCCTGGCAGAGCTACTGCTATTTGGTGAAGTCAGTGGAGTTGGGTTTCTCCCCAAACATTCTGTTTATGTTGGGTTATCGCTTGGCGTAATGTTTGGATTCTCATCCTCCCAACCCAGGTCACATGCCAATGAGCAACAACAATCCTCCGTACTAGCCCAGTGGATGTTTACATTTTCATCACATACTCTTTTTAGAAAAGCAATTAGAGGAAATATGCTTCCAAGCTTTTCTCGACAGGGCCAGATTCAGAATCCCAGAAGGGAGTGGACTCCTTCACTACTTGAAGAAATATTTTCCTTCTTCACTCTATTCCTCCGTCTTCCCTCTAAGTGTGAATAAAACATTCAATAACTGAAATATCCTTGCTAGACACGTGAGGCTGTTCTCTGGTTCAGTCAGCAGCTTGGCTGCCAAGAAACCGTGCACCCTCCCTGAAGCTTTCTCATAGCAAAAGGTAAAAGAGACTCTTGGGTCAGAAAGAAATGGGTTTTTCAGATCCTAGGCTAGAGAGAAAAGGGGCAGCTGAGCTTGGATTTTATAGGTCTGACCCATCATACCTGGCACATTATTGGAAAAAACCAAGCAGGAAAACATGGCTGCAACCATGAGGACTTTAATCCACTGCACCCTGGTGCTCTGAGAAGAACCAGGGGCCTCTGGAATTGATCTGAGGACACCACACCCCGTGGGTTTGGTCCCAAAAGTCAGCGACGGAGCAGAGAGGAGTCCTCACACAGGCTCCTTCTTCCCTCGTTAATATCTTCAGGCTGTCCCAGATGCCAATCCAGGCAAAACCCAAATTCGACACTCTGGCCATCCTGACGGGACATCACCAAGGAAGATTCTACCTGGGCAGGCGGGACCTGGGTAGGTGTTAAGTGTTGACCAAAATGGCGGAGAGGGCATTTTCGTGTATGTCAGCTTTTTGTTTACCACGGAAGGATAGACTTATAGCTTGTGTTCCCCTTCTATGCGGTAGGCTGCTGCGTTTGGCTTCCTCGCCACCCCACGTGTCCTGTTTCATTCTCAGCAGCAGAGCACTGGCTCTCGGGTACCGCCGGGTGGCACATAGCCAGAGCAGAGGGAAGCAGCAGAGGCTCACAGGTAGCCTGCCCCCACGCACGGCTGTCTCTCTGTCCCAGCCTGCCTTCACTCTCTGAGATCTCCCCCTACCTCCTGACACCTCACCTTCCAGCCACAGATGCTCCTAAGAAGTCCCCATTTCCCGGCCTGCCAGTGAGCGGGTACAGGACAAGCTTGCCATCCCCTGGCTTCTGTCTTGGCCGGGCCAAGAGGCTCCCAGAAGCTCCCTGTCACGTTGCGTCCCAGCCTCATGGGCCCCCTGCAGCCCCTTTGATCTGAGATTGTGGCTCAGAAGATGACATGTGAAAAACAAAGAAGCCAGGGCTCTTTCAAAACAAACGCTGCTGCGCGTCCCCCAGAAACAACTTGCACTTTTAACCTCTGCTTTTTCTTCTTCTTTCTCATTCCTATGGGGAAGGAAGTGTGTGTGTGTATATGTGCTGAGCTCGCACATCTCCTTACGTGATCGTTCAGAACGTCATGTCTGTGCGATGTCACCAAGCAAGATTCACCAGGAAGAGCACCAGGGGAGCCCTGCTCTCTATCCCTGTCTTTCCTTCGCTCTCTTCTTTCTTTCCTGCCCACCTCTGAGTGAGCTGGTTCCAGGGGGAACTTTGCTTTGGGAAGTCAAAGCCGGTAAGGCAGACAGAAGTGACTCCCCAAGGTAATTCGGGACTTTTAAAAAAAAATCAAATAAAACTGGAGCTGGCCCCCCATCCTGAGATAGTTCAGTCTCACAATCAGGGATGACAAACCCGTGTCACATTCCCAGGGAGGGTGACAAGAGGAGCTGTAAGCGCCACCAGCCAAGCCCCCTGCTCCCCCCACCACCTCCTCTTGGAACTTCCCGGGTCCTGCCCCTTCCCGGGGTGCCGCTACTCACAGTACCTCTGGGCAAGGACGAGATGAGAAGGAGCTGCAGAAAAGTGAGCCCCAGCTGCGCCCACCAGCCCAGCTCCATCCTTCCCGCGGCGGGTGCCCGAGTGTCTGCAGGGGACGGAGAGGAGGGACCGAGCGAGGCCGGCGGGCAGGCGGCTCTTGCAGGGACCTCCCCAAGCCCCAGCTGAGCGGGAGCTCGGGTTTCAGCTCGCCCGGCTCTCCCGTCCTCATCCGAGGGGAGCCACCTTCAACCAGAGCGACGTCAGCCCAAACCTCTCGGCTGCCTTAACCCTTGCGAGGCCCGGGGAGGTGAGGCTGGAAGGGAAGCTGCGGCTTGGGGCCAGCCCAGGTCGGCGGGCTCCGCACCGGGGAGCAGAGGTGGGCGGGGTGTGGAGCGCTCAGGTGAGGGCAGGAGCTGGCTGTGTCTGCTCTGACCAGAGCCCGATTGAAAGCATGGCCTGGGGGAACAGGGAGTTGGTGACTGGAGGACAGGGGAGCCCACCTTCCCCCACTCCCAGCATTCCTCGTCTACCCCCAGCTTTCCTTTTCTGTCTCTTTGCTCTAGGCAGCCACCGTTTGGAAACCTTACCCTTTGCACCTATAGCTTACTGGGAAAACTCTTCATCTTTCCATGACAGTTAGCAACTTGAATAGCTCCTGCACCAGCCACCCAGGGAGTTAGGCTCAGGAACAGAAGCACACAGAGAGCAGGACACCACCTCCGCTGGGAGGGGGCTCAGTTTAGGTATGAGACAGCAAATGACATCTTGAAGTGAGCAAGAAGGATGCCGTATAACCGGGGTCCCCAACCCCCCACCTCAGACCCATTCGTGTCTGTGGCCTGTTAGGAACCAGCCGCACAGCAGGAAGTGAGTGGCTGGCCAAGCTTCATCTGTATTTACAGCCCCTCCTCTTCACCACCTGAGTTCCACCTCCTGTCTGATCCGCGGCAGCATTAGGTTCCTACAGGAGCACCAGCCCTACTGTGAACCGCACATGGAGGGATCTAGGTTGTGAGAGCTCCTTATGAGAATCTAATGCCTGATGATCCGAGGTGGAGCTGAGGCGGTGATGCTGGCCCTGGGGAGCAGCCGCAAATACAGATCATCATTAGCAGAGAGGTCTGACTGCACAGTAAATGCAATGTGCTTGAATCATCCCAAAACCACCACCACTCCTAATCCGTGGAAAAATTCTCTTCCATGAAACCAGTCCCTGGTGCCAAAAAGAATCTTTTTGCTTCATAAGATAATAAATAGGTGACATTTTTTTTAATCAAGTCTCTGTGCCAGGTACCTTATATGCATTAACTCAGTTATTCCTCACCAGCAAAATGATCCTTTCCATTTTACAGACAGGAAATGGAGCGCTGAGAGTTCGATAAGTCATCCAAGGTCACATAGATAATGAGGGACAAAGCTAGGGTTTGAACCCCAGCAGCTTGGCTCCAGAGACTATAGCCCTGGCCACTAGGCAATATAGCTTCTTACGATGCTATGCATACAGAATTGTATTCAACCGTTACAGTCACTGAGTACACTAGGCGGTATTGCCCACGTGTTATGGATGCAGAAACAAAGACTCAGAGATTAAGTGACCAGCTCAAGATCACTCACGGGAGTGAGAAAGCAAGACTCACACCCACACTCTGGGGACCTGGGGCTTTGGGACACACTTTGGCCCATTTCAGATTGTCAGATTAAGAACCAAAGTTGGGAGAAGCCAGGGATCATTCAGGGTCAGGGCTGGTGGGGAGGCTTCTTGAAGCTGGAGGCTTGACCTGCGGTCTGGGAAGTAGGTTCTCAATCCATGGAGGGCAGTAGAGAGGGCCTTTATGGGAGGAAGGACTGAATTTGAACAGTGTCACTAGGAAATAATGAGTATATATATGTTTATAGCATAATTTATGTTTATGCTTTTCCTCAAAGTATCCATGGCAATGTATACCATTATAATGCATTTTAAACAATTTTGAGAGAGAGAGATAAGATATTGGAGATATACTAAACAAAACCAACTGAAGAACAAGAGCCAACTGAAAAGAATAGGCAGTATTGTTTTGTAGTGTGGATGTATAGTTTGAATGTGGCAGAGAACTGGAACCGAGTAAGAGTGTGACCAGGGTGTTTGAATTTTATTCTATAGGTGTTGGCAGGGTCCTGATGGCTTAGGAATTGGGGGAGCTGGGCCCAAAGCAAATTTCCAGGATGATAAGTCACCCTGGCCTTTTTTTTCTTTTTTTGCTATTCAAAATCAATTTTATTCAGATATAATTTACATACAATAAAGTGTACCCAATATAGTACCATTCAATTAAAATAATGAACATTTCCATTACACAAAAAAATCCCACATGACCACCTTTGCAGATAACCTCTCATACTCCCAGACCAGGCAACCACTAATTTGTTTTCTTTTGTTTTTTCTCTAGCCACACAACTTTATTATGGGGATCAATATATATCCTTCTGAGAAATGTTTTTATTTATTTATTTCTATTAGTCTTTTTTTTTTTTTTGGCATATTAATGTTCAGGTTACATATATTGCCTTTGCCCTGCCCAAATCAGAGCTTCAGGCAAGTCCATCCCCCAGACGGTGTGCACCGCACCCATTAGGTGTGAATATCCCCATCCCCTCCTCCCCCATCCCACCTGCCTGATATCCGGTGAATGTTACAGCTATATGTGCATATAAGTGTTGGTCAGTTAATACCAATTTGATGGTGAGTACATGTGGTGCTTGTTTTTCCATTCTTGTGATACTTCACTTAATAGAATGGGCTCCAGCTCTATGCAGGAAAATACAAGAGGTGCTAGATCACCATTGTTTTCTGTGGCTGAATGGTACTCCATGGTATACATATCCAGATTTTATTAATCCACTCATGTATTGATGGGCACTTGGGTTGTTCCCCATCTTTGCAATTATGAATTGTGCTGTTGGAGGCAAGGACCCTCAAAGACCCTCAACTCCCCTATGACTCATCCTATGCACGGGCTTCGCCCTGGAAAATTCCCTGAACGAAAATAGCACTCCACCCTCCAGCTATAGCTCTGAGAAGAATGCATTCCATGACCACGGAATGCTCCAGGGAGTGCTAACTGCAATTGTTCCCGACCACCTGCCAGGTTGGGGTTGAGTAATCAGTCACAAACAGCTTCGATACCCATAAGACGCTGATTGGGGCTGATTGCCCCAGACCCAAGCCTCATCATCACCCCACTCTATTTTTCTGTTTCTACTTCCTTGTTTCTGTATGCTTATAAAGCCTACAAAGAATCCAAGTAAAGTAGACCTTGACAACCCTTTGCTTGGTCTCGTTCCTTTCTCTCGCCCATCTCTTTCAGGCACGGTCCCCCTTGACCCCACAAGTAACATAAGGTCCCGCGGGCCGGGACATTGTGCTGCTATAAACATTCGAGTGAAGATGTCTTTTTTATAGAATGTCTTTTTTTCCTTTGGGTAGATGCCCAGTAATTGGATTGCTGGATGAAATTGTAGTTCTACTTGCAGCTCTTTTAGGTATCTCCATATTGCTTTCCACAGAGGTTGCACTAGTTTGCAGTCCCACTAGCAGTGTATGAGTGTTCCTATCTCTCCACACCCATGCCAATATTTATTGTCTTGGGACTTTTTGATAAAAGCTACTCTCACTGGAGTTAAGTGATATCTCATTGTGGTTTTGACTTGCATTTCCCTGATGATTAGAGATGTCGTGCATTTTTTTTTTTTTTTTTGAGACAGAGTCTCACTTTGTTGTCCAGGCTAGAGTGAGTGCCGTGGCGTCAGCCTAGCTCACAGCAACCTCAAACTCCTGGGCTCAAGCGATCCTCCTGCCTCAGCCTCCTGAGTAGCTGGGACTACAGGCATGCGCCACCATGCCCGGCTAATTTTTTCTATATATATCAGTTGGCCAATTAATTTCTTTCTATTTATAGTAGAGACGGGGTCTCGCTCTTGCTCAGGCTGGTTTTGAACTCCTGACCTTGAGCAATCCGCCCGCCTCGGCCTCCCAAGAGCTAGGATTACAGGCGTGAGCCACAGCGCCCGGCCTTGTCGTGCATTTTTTCATATGTCTTTTGGCCATTAGTCTTCTTTTGAAAAGTTTCTGTTCATGTCCTTTGCCCACTTTTTAATGGGGTTGTTTGATTTTTTTCTTGCTGATTTTCCTGAGTTTTATTTTTGAGACAGAGTCTTGCTCTATCATCCAGGCCAGAGTGCAGTGGCATGATCATAGCTCACTACAACCTTCAACTCCTGGGCTCCTCTCACCTTAGCAATCCTCTCACCTTAGCTTCCCTAGTGGCTGAGACTATAGGCGCATGCCACAATGCCTGGCTAATTTTTCTATTTTTTGTAGAGATGGGGGCTCACTCTTGCTCAAGCTGGTCTCAAACTCCTGGCCTCAAGTGACCTTCCTGCCTCCGCCTCCCAAGGTGCTGGGATCATAGGCATGAGCCACTGCACTCGGCCACCCCAGACTATTGATAAAGGTCTAGAGTAAGGATAAGCAATGGAAGTGAAAGGGAAAAGATGGTGGAAACTTGGAGAAGGTAGAATCCCAGGACTCAGGACCGGTTGGAAGAACAGGAGCCCGGCATTGGTACTCCCCTAGGGGAGAATTTCTCAATTCCAGCCCTCCTTGTAGGGCCCATTATAGTGAAGTGCCTGGAACCAAGAACTCAGCATTCAGAGATTTGTGTTCCAATCCTTGATTCACCACTTTCTGACTGTATGACCTTAAGCAAGTTCACTAACTCCCTGAATCTCAGTCTTCTCATTTGTAAAATGGAAATAATAATCAAACCTGCTTTGTAGACTATTGTAAGAATTTAGTGAGAGTATGCACATAAGGCTCATAACAGTGCCTGGCACATACTAAATGCACAAGAAATATTAATCGTTCTCTGTATTACCTGTCCTGAGACTGACCCCAAGAAAACCACATGGTATAGTCCTTCTTCCTCACCCTCAACTTCCCTATTTGAGGTGAACTCTGTTTAAAACATGCACCACAAGTAGCATTAAAGAAGAGAAAAATACCAAAGGGCAGAATATCAAAGGGATGGAGGGTAAAGGTTAGAGGAGGGAGGTTTACTTTGTTGCTGGCCAACCAGTCCTTGTCCTTTGGGGATGAGATTGATGAGGAGGTGACTTAGTTTCCAAATAACTGTAGGTGTGAGAGCCTCTCAGGAGTCTGTTTCTACAACCAGCTGACAGTACCACTCCCTTCTTCCCTTCACACACACACTCACACACACACACACAAAACCTCCCTGAGCCAATACCTACCAGCCTCATTCCTACAGCAAT